TATTTCTGACTTGGTAGCACAATATTTCTTTTTATAGCTGATTGTTATATTCTTGTTATTTATTATTATCATGTATCTGCCTGATATAGCTATGGTGAAATTACTGATAAATGATTCATGGCATAAAACAAAGCATAATCAGGGCAGTGTGCTGTGGACGTATGGAGGTGATGATGCTAATTTCGTGTTCGCGAAACATGTGAAAGCTCTACAATCGACTTTTGACCCCCAACCATGAACTAGCAAATTCGCTACAGTTCCAACTACGCGCTCTGAATCAAAACATCAAATTTTATTGGTCTACCTGATTACTCCTGCATCTGATGTTTTCACTGGTATGGCATCCCGGTTGAATAACATGACATGATTCTGTTCCGTTCACGAAGTTGCTCGATTACCGCAACGTGGCACGGTTTTGCGCCCTTTACCTGAATGAGCCACTCAGTTTCAATAACTGCTTATTCGTTAAGGTAGCGGGAGGGGGCAGACGCGTCTAACAGCTTCTCCTCCGTTCCTGATTCTGTGTCAGTATATCAGCTTTGGCAGGAGATAAATCAAGTCTAGTGCAGAGTCTTTCGGTACGCTTTCCGCGCCAATGCACTGCAGGTATTAAAATATCATGGAGCCGTGGCCTGTTTCAGTGATCCGACCGGATACTAGAGGCAGCGGAGCGCCTTGTGAATCCAGAGTTGGACAGCAGAGACCGCCGTCAACGATTTATTCCATTTGTCGTTGAGGCAAGGGCCAGCTCTAAAGTCGGCTGATTTATACCATCGGACTTACTTTTGGGCTCAGTATGAAGAAAGCACAATTGAAATTAACAACAGAACATATTATTTATGTGCAGAGGAAACAGGCAAAATTTTACTCTTTGTTTCAGATATAATGCAGAATACATCAAGAGAAACCACTATCATATTATAATGAATTTTTTCTGTTCCTACTACGTGAACTGGTTGTTGCTGCATAGAGCCTGCCATAATTATCAGTCGCAGGCGGTCGGCAAAAAACCGCCTAGGACACCTCTTTCTTTGTTTCTTTAACGAAAATTACTTTGGTTGCCCGTATTATCTAATTGGAGAAGGGACAAAAGGTCCAGTCGAGGAGGGTTCATTTTAACGTTGACTTGTACGCTACTCCTCCTTAGCTAGCCTGTGATCGAGATGTCTGCAGCTAATCTTCGTGCAAGCAGACTACTAGCGGAACCCTTTTAGCCGTTAGTAATCACGTGGCTCGACTTAGTGGTCACAGTTTTGAGGATTAAAACCGACTTAAGCACCAGCGCACTGCATTCGGTTTGGGTCATTCAATGTTTTTAGCTTTGCTCGATGAATGTTGTGTTGTGAGAAGGCGCAAGCTCGACTTTTTAACGGGACCATGTTAATTGGTACCGTATATACATAAATACTTCAGCAGTTTATAAAGTTGATCATTGTTTAGGAAACTAGTCACCGAGACCGTACGTTCCTTAGTAATTTGACACTCGATCGATCAACATGACCATCTCTCAAGTCTGATGACTGCCAAGAAGCAGTGCATGAAGCCTGTTAATAGCATAAGATTGTTACACTTGTTAATGAATGATAATTATCGCCAACTGCGAACTGAACTGTCGTTGTTTCAGCTACTTTAAAGCATATGTTGTGATAGGCGCCTGACGGGACCCTGTTTCCGGACCGGGCGTCACTGTACATCTGCGCCATCGAAGATCGACAGTACAAGGATGAAAAGATTAACTGTAAGATGGTGATGGTTAGAATTCGTTGTTAACCCTAGTCTGCGGATGTTTCAGGGTGGGATAATGTTTACGGCTTTAACATGTCAAGCATTCGCCGGGTAGCGATCTCTGAGCCGTTGGTGGACATCGTGGACGCAAACCAAGTGGTGACAACGTCCTGTCTGCTAAAAGTTCGTAGCCACTGTTAATTGCTTTGAAAATTTTCTATTCTTCTGTTGTTCAGGATGTGGATTTATATACCGCAAAAGTTGAGGACTTGTCGTGGGAAACGCCATTCACGTTGAGTGTTCGTAGAAATGACTACGTGCAAGCACTAGTCACATTTTTTACCGTAGAATTTACGAAATGCCACAAGCGGACCGGATTTTCAACGGGTAAAATTTTCAATGAAGTTATCTTGTTGTAAAGCATTTGGATGCTACGTAAATGCTCTTTTTCAGTCGATATTTCTTTTCTTTAAATCAAATCATTGCTGTCAGGGATGCAAAGAGCAGTTCAGAAGTCGGTCTTAGAAGCTAAAGTTATACTTAAAACAGTATGTCCCTGCGATTTGTTTTCACTGACTGATAGATCTGTGGTAAGTGTGAGCAGAAGACCTGTAATCTGCACATCGTAATTTGTTTTCAGAAATTGGTTAATCAAAACTTACATTTGCTGTTCCTTCCTTAGGATCTTGTCGGACATTACCATGTCTCTGCTAATTAGAAGTTGTCCAAAGATCCAGGGCTCGCCTTTATTCTTTCCGTGATCGATAAATGAGTAGTATTTCCTGGGAAGATAACAGCAGTTTAGGCGTTATGGTGGTTTGGTCTGTTAAATACAAAATTTCTGAATCTACAACGTAATGGCGTGTGAATGTCGGTTCGGTTAGTGAAGCGTCATGCTTGATTTAGTTAATTTTACTGTATTTTACTATTTGAAGGTATTTAGCCTATTGTTTGATTAATACCGAAGCAGTTATATTGTTGTTTTAGCTCCGGATCAACATTACACTCACTGGAAACAGACAGTTTTCTATCTTGAAGAATCACTAACGGTCAAACGAGGAGAGGAGATCTGCGGCATTTTCTCGATGAAGCCTAACAGTCGTAATAAGGTGCGTAGTTTTATATCTACTGCATGAATAGATTCCTCGGTAATAGCAGAATAGAAAATCTCAGAGCTGCAGAATGGTTACTGTTTTTTTTTCATTCTCTTTTTTAACCATTTATTATTCGATTACCTTAGGGTCAGAAAATGCAACGGCTATTTCATGTTTAGTTTTAACGTTGGTTTTATGCGGTGGATCGTGACTGCTAGAAGATGATGTACGGAGGTAGTCGATAAAAGATATTTAATGACAGGGTTCTTGGAAAAATGAGAGCAGGCTTCATCTACCTTAGGTTTACTAAGAATAGAAATGAATATGTTCAGACTATCTTCACGTTTCTTTCACAAATCGCCTTAAACTATTCTTACACTGTTAGCTTAACCTGATGATAAGCAACTGACCACAGACCATTAGAAAGACTAAACTACTAAACGTAATATGCGTGAATTAGATGAATTTTTTTCTTGTCACAACTAAAGAGCAAACTGTGAATTTTGATAAGTACATTCTGAGATTACAATGGTTTCATATTCCAGTACTTAAACCAGTATAATGAATACAGCTGTCATATGTGGTTTTCGATTTCTTGTGGCTTATGTTTATAGCGGTGTAAATTCGTCGTTTTTTCAACGCATAAGAAATTCAGGTGATTTTAACAACTAAAGCTTTACACTTTAGCGCGATTTGGACTTCCTCGTACAGGTGAAATTTCACGGGGAGCTGTGTGACCTAGAAGAAAACAATGCTTATCACATGCATTAGTATTTGCTGTTGTAACATGTATTCTTGTACACTAATAAAGCAGCTCTCATGTGCTGCTGCCAAACTGACTCTTTACGATTGTATTTTTTTGCGGTGAAGAAGCTGCAACCCATTTTTTAAATATAAGCATCATTTGGTTACATATCAATTAAACGTGCTGCTAAACATGCGGTTCTGTATCTTACCACCAAACGCAGTTCAGCTAAGAATTGAGCCGTTTTACTGCTATATTTTATTACGATAATAATATCGTTGATGTACAAGTCAAGTGACGATAATGACGTTCTTTATCATCTGCTTCTTCGTGTCCAACTAATGTCCAGATCATCATCCGTCCGTCTACGATTGTGACGAGTCCTATGAGATAAAAGGCACGGTGGACGAATTTCAGTGTGCTATTTCAGCAATTTATGCGGATGGTAGCTTCAAAGATTACTGATCTTATAGTCAGAAGACTTTTCTTAGATTTCCTTAATTCGTAAAATGAATATCACGTCTGATTATCATTCACTGTCGCTAAAGCTAACTGTTTCAACTACAGCAACGTATCGCACAGGTCTACGCTTTTGAGAGTCCAATTCTCCAGCTGTTTAATTTTTCGCGTAGAAAAATAATGCACCACTGTATACGTAATGTTACACGAGAATGCCATACTCTAAAGCCACTTTCATGAAAAGACCAGCTGTCACTGGTGGTACCCTTCTTTTAATTAAGTTAATGTCGAGGTGCTGATTTTCATTTTCATGCTATCAGCCAGAAGTGAATTATTTTAAAGGCAGGATAGACAGCAGCTAGGTTGCATGCATAATGCGTAGTCTTCTCTTTCCTTCCCTCAGTGGTAGTCATTTATCAACATCAGAAGGAAGAAAGGTAAGTGTCCCCATTGGAGATTTAACTCGGGACCTTTCGTTTCTGCCTCCGATGCTCTACCGATTGAGAAACCTGTCATCGTGATCACCTAAAAACTGAGTACCAAGTATGATAATCACCACACGATGTAAAGCCAAAAAATACAGCATAAATTGAATTGAAAGACTTAAAATGCAATAAGTGAAAACAACAGTAAAATGTACTGGACAATATTTATAAACATTTTTAAATAAGTTTTTGCAGGAAAACTCATGAGACATACTTCCGCCGGTTTTTCAGATGTGAGCAAATCACACAGCTGCAAACTACTTGCAAAACCTAGAAACAACAGACATTAGGGCAGCAAAAAAATCAGTCTTGACATTGACGAATTTACTTCAATGAGGATCAGGAAAATGACGAAAGATGCCAAGAGAAGGGTATTTTCACGTAACCATTTTTCCACTTTGACGGAGCATCCCTAAGCATGTTTCTGATGATGAGTTAAACATATTGAAGCATCACTGCAGCAAAGCCAGAACGAGACGTAATATTCTACCTCTTGGTGAACGGCAGATGCCAGCTGTCGATCGTAGGGGAATTCGCTACACCTGTCGTCGATAGGCATCAAATGTGATGGCGGATGTGCGTCGTCCCGCTGCGTACAGCACGACTCCGGCACGTAGTGAATGGTGCCCGGACTGTTGTTGATCTGCCAGTAACTGAACATGTAGTCAGTGGTGCCATTAGCCCCACAGCACTTTTGCTAAACACAAAAAAAGATGTAACGTTAAACTCGCATTACAGAAGTTGACTTACTTATTCTGTAAAATCGACTTCAATTGAAATGAATAAAGCAGAAGTTAACTTACATAAAACTGAACAGTATCCAATAAATCCGTTACCCAATGTTCGCGACCATACCTGCGATGAACAAGGTCGTAAATGTACCCATTAACATTGTAGTAGATCTGAAAACAAGCACGTAAA